GGTGAAACTCCGACGAAACAGTTTGTCACAGCCCCTCGTTTGTTGTCCTCTTCTCCCTCTCTGCCTACGGTTTACCGGGCAGTTCTATTTGACGATATATATATATTACGTATTTTTAGGGGTATAAAAAAAATATTAAATAAACAGGCCGCGGCCAACTTTTTCGGCCGTGGCGGACGAATTGCCCGCGGCCTAGGCCGCGGGTGTCACATAGCCATCCAGATTTTCGCTTTGGATAGGGGGCGATCCAGCTCTATTTTTTGCTTACTCATCAGGGTCTTCTCAAGAGGTTTTAGGAATTCTTCGATTTCGTTCTCCCTGATGTATCCTTGAAGTAGGGTCTTGCTATCTGCACACATCGGGGGGTGGAGGGAACAATGTTGTGATGACCGGTCTGTGGATCGGAAAGTGCTTCTATGGCAGATCTGTGTGCGCGTACACGGGCCATACTAAAGAATCTTTTATCCATGGTCCCCTCCGTTTGGTGTCGTGCCAGTCTCCCTCTGACGTGAGTTCCCTCCCAGCGTTGTGTAGCAAACATCTGAAGTTGTTATTTCAGTGTCTGTGCTCTTGAGTCCTCCCCTTGCTGTGTCTGCTGAGTTTCGTATGAGCTGTGTGCGTCATCGGGTTGATCTTGATGTTCAAGTTGTTGCAGTTGCTGGTGAATTTCCATCTCTTGCTGATGCTTCTTGGCTGCTAAAAGTTTGGAATACTCCAAATGCATCTTATAATGACCGGGCGTTCTATTCGGGTGAAGAGTGTAGTCCGCACAGAAGACTTATGATCCAGAACAGACCATTTCAAAGCAATCTAAGAAAAAAAAATCTGTCTATTTTTTTTATTTTATTTTTTTTGGTGGTAAAAGTTCCGTAAAACTGCATTGCAATCCCACATTATCCTGGTGTTTGTACGAGAACCACCACCAGGATTGAGGCCTTGCCTGTGGGGTTGTGTTTAAACTTTAAATCTAGTAGGTGCAACTACCTCAGCTTTCTCAAGAAGAGCACACAGATTCGCACAGCAAAGATTCATAGCTCTTTCTTTCTTTTTTTTTTTCTTTTTTTTTTCTTTTTTTTTTGAACAGAGCACTCTTTTCTTTCTTTCTTTTTTTTTTTTTTTTTTTTTTTTTTTTTTTTTTTTTTTTTTTTTTTTTTTCCCCCCCCCCCCCCCCCCCCCCCCCCAACCCGCCTTAAGTGGGGGCCCCTAACCTTATTGTGTCCTTGTGATTCCCCCACTCAGGATTTGAACTCATGATCTGTTTATGGAGAGTTAGTGTGTGTGTATGTACTACTGTGTATACCACTCAACCACAGCAGGTGCCACCTTCTTCCCCTGAACATAACGCATATGCATTGTAAACGAATACAACCCATAAGGTATGTTCTATTCGGATTCAACGCACATGCCTTCTATTCGAATAGCCCTAAATTTCGAATGAGACACATCTCCATTCAATTTTTTTTTTCAAATTTGAAAACTCGAATACAACGCATATGCGTTATGTTCGGGCGAAGAAGGTAGTGGTTAACTCAGAGACTCTTGAGTTGTCAGAAAGAGAACTGTCCGGGTCTGTGTGTGGGACATTGTTGAGCAAAGAATGCTGACTCGGGAGTCGGGAGGCAGAACCATCATCATCAGGGTCTGTTTGTTCTTTTTTGGGGCAAAAAAAAAAACAGAGCAGACTCACGGAATTGCTTTTGTTTTGGGTCATCCCCTGCAACTCCGTCAAGTTTGAGGTGAGATAATGTTCACGTCATCATTAATTTCATAAAACTTGTTTGTCTGGAAAAGAAACAGCCTCATGAACGAAGAACTGGACTAGCAAGTCTTCACCCGAATATAACGCCCGGTCAATATAGCTGTATTTGGCACAACTTTCAGCCCAGATACGGCGATACTTACCGGGCGTTCTATTCGGGTGAAGATGGTAGCAAGTCTTATCCTCCTCAGAATGGAGATGGAGCTAGAAGCATAAGGGGCCTGCTTGGGAATAACGACGATAAGCCCGGTCTTGCCTGTGCTTTGCATGGATAGCGAACACAGACTTAGAAAACTCTTTTTATGTGTCAGAGTTCCCGGCGCTTAGAACAGCTGCAGTGGACCAAACGTCGAGGGACGCTACAAATAATTAAAGACAATGGGACCAAAACCAAAAGGATTGCCATTGGGTGGATGGGCAGCAGCAGTTAACTTAAAGGCAGATCTCGATGTACTGTCACAAAAAAAAAAAACAAACAGAAAAGAACGTGGAAGTGCGGAATGTATTTAAGTTATACGGAACTTATACCTTCTCGGTACCGCTGCACTGGGTAAGCATTTTGCGCAAAAAGGACCGCGACCGGCGACCGCGGCTTCAAGAGGGCGACTTGGTGGCAATGCAGGGGGGGGGGGGGGGGGGGGGGGGGGGGGGGGGGGGGGGGGGGGGGGGGGGGCGAGGGTCGGGAGCATACTGGAAGTACGAAAAGAGGAATTTCAAACTGTTACGATAATAAAATTTAATCTGTTTCAAAAGAACAATGAGAATGTGCTTACCAGGCCTTCCCCGGGCGTGGTGGGATGGTACAAGAAGACGGAGATGTTCAGAAGAAGGGTGCAGCTGTGGATAAAAGAAGACGGGGTAGCCTTCCTTCCGCGTAGGGCCCGCTGTCAAATCTGCGTTTTGAGCCGGAAGAAGAATGGCAGTGGCCCGTCTCACAAATGAACGGGAATTTAAAGACAAAAATTATTCATCCTGCCGGTCTTGGGGTGAGGTCCACATAGTACAGAATGCCGTGGGCTAAAATAAACCTCAAGGATAGTGTGAGGCACCGATGGATGATGCAGGGGAACGTTGGGAGGGATGCGATCCGGCCCATCTGCTGGTTTACAGTGACCAGGATCAGACCCGGTCCTGCCAATCTAGCCTCCCTGCAGTGGCAGATAGAGCACCGCTGCCTCCCCACCAACACAACGGGTTGATTGACCGCATGAACCTGGAACAGAGAAGGGGATGGCCGTCCCATGGCGCAAGTCGTGTCAAAAGTTCTCAAAACATCTTTCTTCCCTGCAAAATCGCGGACTCGGGGACCATAGAATATATATCACTACAGTATAATCCGGGTGCAGCCGTCACATGCTGCTGGTGGGACCGAATATGTTGCCAGTCAGGCACGAACACTGTTTGACCATGGGAGCGGAGAGCACTCCTATGTGGAACATGATGCTCCTCGCAGGACAACCCCTTAAGTTTGAGGAAAGCATGTTTAGGCTAGGAAGGAGGGCGGTCCTCTGGGCCCGGACCCTGTGGCGGAACCAATGTATGCGCGTCCAGGAAGGGGCACGCACACACGGGTGGAGGGCGAGTAGGGGTCACTGAGGTGACAGACCTCGCAGAGCAATGGGTAAAATCATAAAAGTGAAGTCACAGCCGGATCTAAATCGCAGTTAAAAAGACGTTGAACAAACAACTCAAAGATGATCAAAAGAATGGTTGGGGGGGTCACCAAGGGGGCTGGATCGCCAGCATTCACTGTCACTGTGGGGGGAGACGGCGACCCGACGACCATTGAAGCGGTCCACGTTCCAGAAGAGCCTACAGCCTGAGCTTCAAAGGCTGGACCAGGACCAGTGCAAGATTAGCCCTGATGTACCGCTGCGGCTCCCTTCTGAGTTCCCGGACCTCTTCCCTCCCCCACACCGGCAGTCGATTACAAATCTGCTGTGGTACGGCGGCGCGCCGGCGGCAGCAGCTGAGACGAGCCGGAAGAGTCAGAGCGCATTCAGTGATACTTCCTTCTGTCTATTTGGCGGGCATAGAGGGGTGAAGAGGCCGCACAGCTGTCAATGCTTGTGGAAGTACGTCATGATCCGTGTATGAGGGGGTGAGCAGAAGGCGAAACTGGGTAATTGCCCCGGGAAAGGAGCTGAAGGATTAATATTATATAATGATAATGGGATGCTGGACCTGGTTTCAAGCAGGTGCCGCTCCGCGGCCAATAGACCGGAGCATCTAGGCACGGGCCGCTAGAGGGGTATGCTCTTGTCACTCCTGCTAGCAGACCCTGCCCAGATTTCCGAAGGAAAAAAAATAAAAATAAAAAGAAGGGTTTCGTGCCTGCCGAGCGAGAGGTATATCAACTTTTCTTTTGTTATTTGGATAATTTTGGACCAGTTTCTTGATTTATGCGTGTCACCCTTTTGCAGGGGCCATGCTAATTTTCTGTGTGTGTTTGAACTGTTTTCCAAATTTAACGGATGTCCCTCGAAGGGCAAGATGTATTTGTCTTATGTATAGTCACTGTGATGTATGGCACGGATTGTATGTGACTTTATTTTGCTGCAGAGAGTTGCCGAGCTTGGTGGGAGAAGGTTGGCAATGCAATCAAGATCGTCGCCCGTGCAATCAAGATATATGATCTTATCTTCCTGCCATGTAGCCAGCTATCCCGGATGACTGGAGGTCCAAGCGATGGGTAAAGAATACATCCAATAATGTCAGGAATGGCATCCACGTGTCGATGTGTCCTGACTCCTGAGGTAGTCTGCCAAGCGACCATATGTGGAGAGAAGTATATTGTTCATCACAGTTAAGGACCTGTCAGGTCCATTGGACTAAATTTTGTAAATGTCCTGTGGTTTACCTGGATCACTGCAGAGTCTTGCACCATCGACTGCTCTTAATTGTCCATTGTGCGTTTATTTTCCTTTGTTTTAAGACTGTGTGTGTGTGTGTGTGTGTGTGTGTGGGTGGGTGGGTGCTGTGTGTGTGTGTGTGTGTGTGTGTGTGTGTGTGTGTGTGTG